ACGCCCGTTATTTGATACAGATTCCTGCTGCTCAGGTATTTAATACCGCACAACAGACTACCTAGTGATCAGCACTTCTTCTATCCTTTCGCACAGAGGGCAAACTGGACGATGCCGTTGACTGTCGCGCGACGCTGTTGCGTAATAAACCTGATATTGCGGAATCAGGAACCGGTTGGTAGTGAGGTTAGAGGAGTCGACATGAGTGGTTATCACATCTGTCGCGTTTTGTTCTTACCGTCTAATTCTTGGTTTTGTCTCAGTCAACCGCCAGTCCGACCCGGAGCAACAACAATGAAAGCCAGATGTGTCCCTGAGACAGTGCGCCTCTCTTGGGAATAGTTGTCGACTAGGCGGCAGCAGCACCACATTCGGTTTTGAACGAAGCAACCGAACCGTGGGGATCCTCGATCTGGCCTCCGCTCCTGTCTTTGATGACGGACGAACAACACCAAGCTTTGGACAGTCAAGCCACGCCACCCAACCTCATGATTGGTCCCAATCCGTTGGAAGGAGCGCATGCGGGCGGTTAGTCCACGACGCAAACTGGATTTTGCTGGCCGTGTACCTAAGAAACGACCCGCAACCATGGCAGATGGCTGTGTCGCTACTGTCTCAGACTCCAGACATATTCCGCAGTTATGACATTTCGCAGGGCGTACCCTGAAGTTGGGAAAACGCCTCCCGCGGGATTTGGAGAACCACTGTGAGGAAAGAGGACCAGGTACCAACGTGACTTAGCGCGCACACAGGATCCAACACCCCAGCTCCTCACACCTCTTCACATATCTGAGAAGCGATGGAGGCCAATGGCTAGGTCGACTTTTCCGGGGGGGCGGTGGAACTAGGCTCAAGGTTGTTGGCCCCGCACACAAACTAACTGGACCAGCGCGAACCCATTTTGAACTCCACCGACAGAATTGGGAGACACGCTGGTGGAAACCAATCCGAAGGTGCGGAGGACGGTCATCTTATGACGCCCTTGCGGGCAACTAGACACAAGAATTCATCCGTAAGTGAGCCGGGAAGGGGGACGATTTGCCTACTGACTATCACAGGTTACCAGCAGTTATCCTTCTCCCGACTTGAAGTTTTTTTCGGTTAGATTTGGATTTGACCTCCTGGCCCTACGTTCTAAAGCCACAGGGCGAAGCAGGCATTCTGACGCGAGACACGTTAAATGTGTCCATCAGTATCAGGGGAATCTCACTCAATCCTGCCAGAAAGTTGCTTATTTGTCGTGAACTCCTACAGGTTCTGCGCATCCTAGGCGCTTTGGATTCGGATTCCTTTCAGGGGATTCGTCTTTTATTTGCCGCATGGGTGTTTTTGTGTGCTTTCTAAAAAGGAGCAGACAGACCGGCTGCACTGGCACATGCTGGTGGGGGCGTGACGGTTTTTTGATTTTTCACGACACGGAGTCCTGGATTCTCAATAGTGCACCACCGCGCTGACGTTTGCCTGCAACCACGTAAGCACGGCTAAGAGACAGTTGGAATTGCCCCAAGGTGATCGGATAAGGGGTTGCACCGTTTAGAACCTGGCAGCATGCGCGTATCTGCTCAGAGCTGTAATCGGGGAGGACGATGTGAAAGCGTTCAGTCAACAGGGGCGGGTAGTCGACTGTTGGCTTATTCGACGTCGTTCGCCACACCGCAAGCTCAGTCTAAGAAAACCGAACTCCTTGGTTATTTATTCAAACACGACTATTAAACCACGAGCTCAGTCAGCCCACCGCGATTGAGAACTTTCAGAGCCACCTGTTGGTCGCCTCCGACCTACTACCTACCCGGAGGATAAATCATAACTGCTTGGTTATTAAGTCAAACACGACTATTAAGCCACGAGCTCAGTCAGCCCACCGCGATTGAGAACTTTCAGAGCCACCTGTTGGTCGCCTCCGACCTTGCTGATAGTGCCTCGTATAAGTGCCTTGTCGTCCCTTCGCGAACTCTTAACCACGGCAAAACGTCCTCAATTTGAGCCGGAAAACCATGCGCTCAGCTACGGCAACCGCGCAGGCAATCGCACACCTACTTAATAACACTAAGTAGTTTACTTGGGGGTCATTTCGGGAGTTCGGTCCACACGACCGACGATGTCAACGGGGTGCTCCACAGCAGGATCGACGACTTGGGGGAGTTTTTTTATGGCGGCAGCGGACTTGCGCAGCCTCTACCGAACTCTGGAGGGGGGCACAGGTAGCTGTCAGGGCGAAAACCCGCACCTAGACGTACCGCCACACACTCTGGTCCATAACGTGCAGTGCTCGGATCCCCATTGGCGCGGTGTGAGCCTACAACAGGGTTCGCCACCAATTTTGGCGAACCCTGTCGGATTCCGATCTAGACCCCGTGTTGGTATTGGTCCAGCGCATCTACCGCGTGGCCTGTTTGAGGGGTACCACTTCGAGATATTGGTAGCCGCTTAAACTTTGGACGAACCAACGATGTAGTTCTGTTTTTACATGTTCTGTAGACGTACCTCAATTCCCCATCGGCTAGGAAACATTGTGCAAAATGAGGCGCTAAAATATCTTCGTAATATGCCAGATCCTAACGCGTGTTTACGGCAAAAAGTATAAATTAAAATATTTGAGGGTAAAGGTAGTGTCCTCGAAGACCTCCGTCTTTTCCGCCACAGGCGTAAGAAACATTTCCCTGGAGTAAAACGCGTTTTCTCATTGCATAGGCTGGAGGAAAGAGGCGCGTAGCCTCAGGTTGCAAAAGTAAACATATTTTAACTGGAAGTAAATTAATGATGTGGTTGCCTTCGGAGTATGTTGGGAAGCTGTGTTTTTTTCTACTGATTAAATGTACAACTTGCTTGGTTTTATATATTACAGGGAAAGGAACAAAAATGCCTCCACTGATTATAATTATCAAGCAGTATACATATATCTTAATCGGGACACATGCATTCGCATGTTGGTGGCGAAATCAAAGAAATAGACACGCAGTGTGGGCGCGATGACTTGTGGGCTCCAGAAGTGGTGTAATTTAGTAGGCGATAGCTCCAGGGCCGTGGTCTTTTTTGCTCACCTCAGAGATGTAAAGCTGTCACGTTTAAAGTCAAAATGACCAGCGTCTGCCGATTGGTCTGCGAGCACTTGCAAGCACATGTTTACTACCGTGGTTGTAAAGGGGTGTCGCGGGAGAGAAACCCGTTTGCAGCACCCATGCGAGGCTTTTTTGTATGTTCTGAACAAACCTACCCGGAGGACAAATCACAACTGCTTGCGGGGGGGAGAGGTGCACGCTTATTTGAGATAATTTTCATGACGAATGACTAATCAAAATCAAGCCGTCGGGTATCTGACAAAGGGTTATGCTGACCCG